TTGCTAATTTAGGCTGGAATATTTGGAAATTGAGGTCTGCCTCAATCTTTTCAGCTGTCATTGACCCTTTCTTAGTTGTTTCTAAAACACATGCTCCTGTCTCTTGAGTTTTGGAAAGCTAACCACTTAGAAAAACCTGCTACCTCTTTTATTGATCCTGTATCTAGTGTTTGGTCACCTCCCCCGCCAAATATTATCAAAATTAATTGTGATGGCTCTTACCTAACTTCTTCAGGTAGAGCAGGTACAGGGATTGTTTGGAGGGATCACTTAGGATGTTTTATAAAAGGATGGTGTGAGAGAATAGAGGCTTCCTCTGGTTTTATGGTTGAAATTCTTGCATGCCAAAAGTCAATCTCCTTCATACAAGCTGAATGCCATCAACGATTTATTATAGAATTAGATTGTCAAAATCTTTTCAAAGCTCTATCATCGAAGAGTTTCAATGGCTGTAACTGGTCACTTCATGGACTTTTAGATGAGCTGTACTGTTGAAGAGTATTGAGTCGTTGCCTGTGTTACCTTTTTCCCTGGTCAAACGATCAGGAAATGCTGCTGTAAATTTTCTCGCTGCCTTCGCTTCAAAGGATGTGGAACCTACAGGCTGGGTTTTTGAACCTTCACTCCCTCTTATTTCCATAATTTCATCGGACTCAAATTTTGATCAAACCGCCTTGCATATTTTTACAGCTAAACATGACCGTGAGGGAATTGGATAAGCTTTTGTTTTGTTGTTTTCTTGTACCTATTTGCCTTTGCCTTGGGCTTATGGCTTGAACTTCGTGTTCTGTAATCTTCTAGTAATGCACATTTTCCCCTTCTTACGGTAAAGAAAAAAAAAAAGAATATTAGGTGAAAATTTGATCATGGTCAATGCGCTCTCCAATATATTGTGAAATCTCTCCTTCAAACATGTCGTTGGATAGATCAATGAGTGTATGCTAGGAAAATATCTTTGATAGATAAGTTTTTGTTTCTTTCATGGTGACCATGGTGGAGTCAAAGTAACGATATATACTAGCATATGAATAGCATCCGATTTCACCCATGTAATCCAAGCCAGTTTCTCCCTCTACTATTTATGCTATGGGAGGTCGCATAGGTTTCAAAAATAGCTCTATTTTATTGTACTCTTAAATTAATATTACATGCGAATTAATTAAAAAAAGTAAATTTACAGTCATGTAATTGTGCAATTTTTATAAACATTTATAAATTTATACGAATTTTCTTTTAAATGATTTAATGAGGTCAAGGGGATTAATTAATTTAACTTAATTTTCAAGTTCCAAATTTTAAGAATTTGTAAGTTTGACCTTCAATTTTATAATTATATTATAATAAATTTGTAATTTATTTTCCAAATTTTAATATGATTGATAAATAAATACATTTATTTTTTCTGTTAAATTTAAAACATAAGTTATAAATTTATTATAACAAATTAGTAAAATTTAGAGGCGGACTTATAACTTTTTTGGGACCTGAAATTTGGGACCTCTCACTCATTTTTCCAAGAATATTTCCATTTTAATAAAACTAAACTAGGCACTTGTTTTGTTATTGGCGCAATTAAAACACGCACAAATTTGTACGGAAACGACTTTTGTGGCCACGTTGTACTGGGAAGAATGACGGTGCTCAGAACATGTTTGGTTTCTAGTTTCATTTTTTATTTTAAAAAACTGTTTTATAATATAATTTTTAAAATTATTTTAAAAAAATTAAAATAAAATTCGTTTGGTTGTTTTAATTTAAAAATAAAATTTATAATTAAAAATCGATTGATAGTGATGATCATTGCTGGTTAATGATAGTGACTTATGATAATAATTGATCCAAATGATTATAATTTTTAACAAATAAAATGTAATGTATTTTGAAAATAAAAAAAATGAAAACGGTGCGTCTTTTTTTTGTTTTTTTTAAATCAGAACATTTTTTAAAATAATTAATTCAAAACACTTGTTTAAACAAGTTTTTAATTTTTTTTAAACAAAAACTGTTTTAAAAAACAGAAATTAGGCAAGCTCTAGTTCTTTTGATTTTTCCTCCCCTAACCTATTCATTTCAATGTGACTCGTTTTGATTGGCCTGACTTCATTCCGATCATATCAGGATGAGCCTTATCCTGGCTCAAAAACAATTAGGACAGGATAAAAAGGGGGTTTAGGATGGGATAGGATGCAGGATTGCTCTTGGGACGTCCTGCTCTGTCCCGAATATTATATAGATATATACTCCTTTCGTTCAAAAATGTAAGATATTTTTTGAGCAATTAAATATTCAAAATATAAGGTATTTTTAGTCTTTCGAGGTGTGATCATTGATTTTTTTAAAAGTGCCCCTATTGATGAATGACTGTATATTTATTATAGGATATTTAATAGAGTTAAATATAAAAAAAATATAGTTAGTTTAAAAGTAGATAACTACTTTATGGGGGTGAGATTCAGTTAAAAATGTTTATATTTTTGAACAGAGGGAGTGTATATATATATATGTTATTTTTTTATTTTTAAAATATACATTAAATATATTAATTATATTATATAATTTATATTTATATTAATTATAATTTCAATACGTGCTATTATTATTTAAAACTTAATTTTGTTTTATATCGATCATTTTAATGACACAACTAAGCAGTACAGGACAATATTTTTCTTTACATAATATATTAATTACATTAATACTATTTATTCTTATATCCGCCTGTTTAATAACTTTTATTTATATCATATTTTTACTTTATTTTTGAAAGAGTCACTAGCTTAATATATTTCACCTAAAGAAGAATAATAATGTCTTAATGTTGTGTTGTGCTTGTTTATTGTTGTTACTTTTATAGCCTAAAGATCACTTGTAATTGCTATCATAATATGTTATTCTCATGTTCACTTGACTTTAAGTTGTATACTTGTAATTGTGATTAATGTAATTTAATAATTGTTGTGATTTGTATACTTGTGTTGTATTGGTTTTAAATTTAATAAGTTATGAAATTTAAAATTTTAAATAATGGATATTATTATTTAGGCTTTTCTCTTAAATTGTCTACTTTATTAGGATGACAGGACATTTTGATCTCATTCCAATCCCGTCTCAATTCTATCAAGATGAGATAACTTTCGAGATTGGATGGGATACAAGTTAAAAATTCAGTCTGAGCAATTTTTGAGACAGGTGTCCTAATCCGATCTCGGTCCATGAACACCTCTATTGTTCATAATTTTACATAACTAGTAAACTCACATACTCTCATAATTTTAATTAAAATAGTGTAGGTTATCTAAGTATGAGTGAACTTGAGTCAATATGAAAGTCTCGTATCGAATAAAATTGAATTTAACAACTAATATTGTCACACCTCGAAAATAGAGAGTGACCGGCAAAGGGTGTGAACACATCAACGTCCCTGTAAGCTACAATTTAAAGTTCATTTCATTTCTAAAATGTAATCAATTTTACATTGAAATTTAACACTATTGATGCTAATCATTAGAATAAATGCTTCAACATTTTGTAAAAATTTTAACAATATCTCCTCTATAAATAAGACCTCTTAAAAATTCTATAATACAATAATTTCCCCTAAACATTGTATCACTTAGGAGCTCAACTCCTTCTAGCTGGGAGAACAGATATAACAAAATAAAACCCTAATTATAATATATGTGGAGCACCTAACCATACTTTTCAAAAAAAAAATAAAATGCATAGGCATTTATAATTATATCAAAGAGAGGAATTTCAATCAATTCTCACCCAGCGTATCTAAAAGTCTTCAGGGGTCGGCAAAAAAATCAAAGTCAACTAATGTATTTAAAACTAAAAATAATTTTTAATGAATAACGTCCCAACAATAATTAATTGAACATGAATAAAAAGAAAAGTTTAAATTAATTATGTAAGTTAAAGAAACAAAATGTCCATAAAAATTAAAATAAACTTTCAAATAAATGGCTCTATAAAATTTTAAATAAAATATTAAATCATTGAACTATCATAGCAATTGTTATTATCACTTAATGTTAAGAAAGCACATAAATAAAATAAATACTTGTAAATAATTTATTAAATAAAAACTAATGGGATATAGAATCACTGTATAATTAGAGTTATA